TATAGAAAATACAGTATTTATCAGAAGCCCAAGCGATGTGGATCATTTCTCGACTATTTTATGAGACTTAATGATAAAATATTTGTATTCCATGTTAGAAGTGAATTAATTTTCTGAATTAATTGTACATACTATTATTTGTGTACAACCAGCAATCTTTCTAAAAATTGCCAAAGATTTATTTAATCAGAGAACTAAACTGTCTTTCCATGTTATCTTTATTGCCATTGAAGTTGGAAGGTAAGACTGCAGAACAGATTTTTTTAAATAGGAAAAAAGATAACAATTTGAATGCAGTAGTAGGTCTTTATATAAAATAATATACATAGTGTAACTTGTTTTTAATTTTCTACCCTAAATTGTAAAAGATGCTATTTTTGGAATGTTTCAGAGCATGCAAAAAGTGTGGCTTACATTTTATAATTTATATGAATTATTGTTTTGAGTTTCTGACCACTGTAAAATGTTTTTCCTTTTGAATACAAAAACATGCTGTACAATTGTCCTTAAAGAAGCTAACTGGAGTCAGCAAAAGATGCATTCAGGGATATATGGTTTTTTTCCAGAGACTCACTGTGTTATCTGTCATAATGCTGGTCCTAGATACTTGTTAACACAGATACACTGAATTCTGTTCACCCATAACTCACTGCTATGCCCCAGGTCAAAAGAAAGCCTAATGACAGCCACCAACAATCTTATATTGAAAATATAACCTTGAAGATCATATGAAACACCCCTTAAAACTATCTGAAAAGAAGCATACAGCGCAAGGAAAATGGAGCAGACATAAATACCTATAATGGTTATGGAAAATAACCCAACTAATATAAAAACCATTAATGCAATTTAGAAGAAGATTCCTTTTTACATTTGAAGTGTTAATGGATACTTACCTTTATTAGTGGTAATTTGGTTTTTGATTGTGTTCTAAATACTGTTTTTATATACTAGAATTCACCAGAATTAATTCTGGACAGTGCAATTATAAGCCAAATGACTTGGTTCATCTCAAATTAAAAAGAAGAAATCTTCTTGTAGTCAAGCATTATTTCTTTAAGTAGTAGCAGATTTCTAAGATTAAATATTAGCCAGAAATTTTCTAACGCATATGAAGTTGTTGGCAAAATATGTACATATACGTATACATACACACAACCACATATAATATGAATTAATGTACATTATGCCTGAGTTGCTTCAGGATTAGATTTCATTTTTTTATCACCAGAGATTTTCTTAAGAGGATATATATATTGAAAAGAAAATTAATGTCAGAAGGAATCAATGCCCAGAGATTTTTTCCTTTACTTCCTTAAGACTCTTGCTTATAATAGAGTCTATTTGTGCGTGGAATATCAATTGAAATATTGGCTACAGAGATTGCTTCTAAATGTTGTCCTAATAATAATATCATCTTTCTAGTTTTTCAAGAAATTAGTTTATGTTTTGATGAATTTCAAATATATTAGAAATTCCTTGATATTTTAAGTTTTAAAATTTTTAATAGTACTAATTTAAAATACAAGTATTTTTATTTTTTATTAACATTTAATATGAGTATTTTATAATAAATTATTTTCCTGGCCTTAAGTTCTCCAAAATGCTTTCAGAATTTAGTGCTTTCAAGGGAAAAAAAATGGTGAAGTGTATTAGGTTTCTCAACTACAAAACTGTATCGATAAAATTTTTTTCTACTTGATAATGGGTAGCAGTTGTTTTCAATGCAAGTGTAAGACACCATGTCAATGCTAAGATTTTGTGTGTGTGTGTGTTTTCAGAAAATTTGCTTATACATACTGAAAGCATCATAACGTGTTAGGACAAGGAGAAACCCTTCTTCTGGTGTGGAAGCCATAATGATCAGGTGTAGTTGCTCTTGTTTCTTAGAACTAGTTGCTATTCCTGGCTAAGCATAGCGTCATGGAAAATTGGGGCCTTATTACACATAGAGAGGTATCATTACTATTTAATCCCAAGACCTTTTCTGTTTCTGCTAAGTAGTGGGTCACCAGAGTCATAGAACATAAACTAGCACACCAGGTACTTGGTACTCATTTTATTCTCTTTTATCATTTATGATGCCTCAAAGAGCATCATACAGAACACCACCCATATTCCTGAAAGAAACATAAAATCATAACATTTTTGCTCTAATGAGAAACTTGGGAATTACCAGATCCAACATAATATGTCAAGTAACAGATGACTCATTTCTGAACTATAGGACTCATGCTGGAGTTTTATTGCAAGAGAAATGGCTTCCAAGTTTGTCTTCTAAAATTCTTCAAAGCAGAGCCTTCCAATGTCTTTTGGAAAATGACAGGAGATATGCAGACGAACAGAGGACAGAATTGGAAACTTTATAAAGATTTCTATTGAAAGTATTTCTCCTTATACCCTCCTGGTGCCCTGGCATTGTAACCCAGCACAAAGTCAACCTCCCTTGGTTGGATCCTGTGATTCTGTGGCCCTAATGAAGTATTTTAAGTAAATTACTTGTGAGTTGATGACCCTGGCTATTTCACTGAGTTCTCTGAAGTTCAGTGTCTTCATCTAGAAGAAACAGTAATCCTTCCTGCTCCAAAAGACTGTTGTGAAAATTACAGATAAGGATAATTTCTGTGCCTGTCTCATTGTAAGCTATTAATGATATAAGCGGTAGCTATGAGTGATGACATAACGTCCACTGCTACTACTCCTTCATTTCTTGAAGAGCAAGGGATCTAAGAACCATATATCAGTGCTATATTGTACTCAAAAGTGAAACTGCAAAACTGAGTCTATAGTCTGGGAGCATAACTCAGCAAAAGGCTGCTTGCTGACCCCAGATTCTATCTCCAGTGCTGCAATAACAAACAACAACAAAAACAAAACTCAGAGGTTATTTCCACCCTGCTTCATTTCTGAAATCTCTAAGTAGTGCAGTAAATTATTAATGGCACTGGTAATACTCTTTCACCAGATGAATACATACTATTTCATCGCAGAAGTTGGCAAAATCACTTTTTAAATTTTTCAGAATTTTATCCTGGACCATCACCATAATAATAAGACGCTGAGTTGTTGTTTTTGCAGTGAGCTAAGTAAAGTACTTAATTACCTAGGGTCCATGCTCGGCACTACATTTTGAGAACATAGGGACTGCTTCCTCTAGTGAGAATCTCCCCACTGGCCCATTTTAGGTGTTTCAATGATTAGTTACTAGGAGATCTAAAGTACTTAAGTGAGTCTGGGGATTTCTAATCTTTCTGTTCAGTGTTTTTAGGGAAATGGTCTGAGAGCTCTACCTCTGAGGCTCCCTCTGGGACTTCCTTTAATAGCTTCTCTTTCATGGAGATGCAGAGTCTAGGGCTGGAGCGCAGGCAGCATTGGAATTTTTGCCTTGACTCTGTTGTCGCCCATTGATGTCCATATATCCATTTTGCTCCTTTATATATGATCCTTGCAAGGATTCCCCAGTGTCAACTGGGTCCCAAGCAGAGAATTTGAGGCCTCTATGACCCAGCTCCTTCCCATGTCTTCAGCTTCACCTCTTATCTATACCCTAAGCTTTAGCATCCTAGACTCTCTGCCGTTTCCTGAACCCAGAATATGCCTTTACTTCTGCTGCTTGCTGTATTGGCATACCAAAGGGCCACTTCAAGGCTCAGGAAATAAATTGTTTTCAAAATGACCTACACACTCTTCCAAAAGAACTGATTATTTCGTCCTAGAATCCTTTGCCTCTGGCAGAGGCATTGATCTTAGCACACTAGCTTATGTTCACTGCTGCAATTATTTGTCTACTGGTTGACCTCCATCACCTGTATTGAGGTAGCGGCTATTTTGCATGCATCTTTGTATTCCTAACATATGGCATGGTATCAGGAACATAGTAGGTCCTAAATGCAGTAGATATTTATTGAATGAGTGGACAAATTATTCGGTGCTGAAGTAACCAGAATCAGTTCAGTCTGCTTCTCACATTCGCCATTTCTCAAACTGAGGAAAGACTTCCTGTCCTTCCCACAGAAGAGATTTTAGGAAGGTTGGTGGCCACTTGTGAAATGATCTGAGTGTGGTTACAAAAGAAGTAATGCTTACACTGCTTCTAGAAGACGCGGACACAGACCTTTTTACCTGTCAATATAATACACATTTCTGAGTCTTAGAATCTTATTCAGTTTCTGATTGTTCTGGACATTTCAGTCCTAAGTACATATACTAGATGCACAATATTGTACTTGTAGCTAAATAAATAAATAAAATAGTGTATAAAAGAAGAGTAATATTTAAAAAGTCTAATACAAATTAAATATAGGTCAGGTATACCTCTGCTTAGATTATCTTTATGAATTCATTTTGTTTTATGTGTACACATATTAAATCTTAGAACTTTATTCTTTTTGGTGGCCAAGTTAAACTGTACAAGTAACTCAGGTTCAGAGGTTAGTTACTATGCTGGCCAATAAATATAACAATCTGAGAGACCTAAATGAATTTTTTATGACTCCCTTAAGTACCCAATACTTAATATAAAAATTAACAGCACCAAGGGCATTGGGACTTGTTTTTCTCCTTAGATCGTCACAAATTAAAGACAAAGTAAGATAATTCTCATTGTGTAAAAAGTAAAACAATATTTCTTCCTTGACATCAAATCTAATGGCTAGGAGATTTTGGGTGGATAGAACAAGAAGCAGAGAGTTAGAAGCAATAAGGCACAAAAGAAGGAAAATAGAAACATGCAAAACTATGGTAATGAGATAATAAAGACAAAGAAACCAGCAGAAAGAAAGCCTACAGAGAAAAAAGGGTAGCAAAGCTGGAGGAAAGGGCCTAATAATAATTTTCAAAACATTAGCAACCCTGATTTCTTTTTTTGATACAGTTAAAAATATTTTTACAATTTTGTTTAACTTTTACTAACATTGAGATTTGCCTCCTAGTGGTTTGGCAACCTGGTTACGATGGAATGATAGAATGATACTTGGCTTAATGAGGTATTTTCAAACTACATGGAACTTATCTCTCTTAGTATAACACAGCCAGAGCTGCAATTTGTAAGTGCACAATTTTGTGTATCATGCGATATACCCTAAAGAATCATAGATTTATAATTAAACTTTGGAGTGAATGTTAAAGAGAAAGTTTTGTGCATTTATGAACATGTGCTCTTTTGGTGTATGAAACAGATTTCAGAATTGGATGAGATGCTGAATGTTTTAGAAAACCATCCAAAGAAATCTCTCACCTGAAAGTTTCTGGGTAGAGAGCAAACTATTACAATATACAGCTGCGTATGTGAGGCCAGGGGGAAATCATCACCATCATATACTTCACTCAGCAATCCTAAGGCTACTGGGTATTGTGAAGAGTTCTTGGCATGGAACTGCAATTGAAAATGACAGGGGACACACTCCTCTAAAATTCCCAAACGTCGTGTTAGCATTCCCAAAATACATCAAGGAATTTTTTCAAGTATGTCTGACCACTCCTTAAATCTGCATATTGAGGTAGTTAATAATGGTCATTAGATCTGTTGGGTTTACATTTAGCTTGGTATATACACTGATGGAGATTCAAAGTCAGAATCTTTTTATTACTTCCTATGTGCTGGAGCTATAGTTTCATTCTAAAACTTTACACATTTTCATTTGTAAAATGCATATAATGCATATCCCTCACAAAGGTGCTGGAAGGATTGTGAATGACAAGTCCTAGCACACAGTAAGTGTTCGCTTAATAGAAACCTTTATTTTAATTTCTATATTCAAGCACTTGGTACATGGTAAACATAAAAGGTAGTCATACCTTTCCCTTTATCTCTTTTCTGTTTGCTTTTCTTTCAGGGAGTTTGTGTTTTGAATATGTTCAAGGATTTTCTCAGTGATGAGAAATTCCAGATAGGCATAGTTCACTACCTAAAGAAGTTCACCTATTGAAATGCTAAGAGTGATGATTTGTGGGACAGTCTGTCAAGTGTAAGTTATATGTTGTGCTACATTTGTCATTGTTATGGTTTGTGTTTGGACGTCCCCCCAAAGCCTTATGCAGTCTTGGGATGGGCTTCTAGAGTTTATAATTGATCCATGGTCCAGTGCTGGGATTATGGATGTGAGTGCTACACCCGCCCTGAGGTGAGTAGTTTGCATACAGTATAAGGCAGGGAAAGAGCCTGGCTCTCTGCCGCTCCTCCCTTTCGCTCTTGTTGCTGTTGCTGTCTTCCGCGGCCATGAGTCATGGACTGTTGTCCTCTGTCATGTGCCATTCTGTCTTGGAGCCAGCTGAGCATGGACTGAAACGCCCACAAACAGTGAGCTAAATAAACCTTTCCTTTCTTAATTTTGGGCATCAGGTATTTTGTCTCAGCAATGACAGAAAAGTAACCAAGACAGTCATATATAAGTCGTTTGTATATGTAAGTTATATGTAAATTTGCAATCATAGGTTAGATATAAAAAGTTACAGGATGATTATGAATGTTAATGAAGAGTCATATTGTCACTCAACATTTATTTTACCTGTGAGGTCCATTAAAGGGGGCACCTTCAATTTTTCCCTGGCACCATACCCCATTGGGATGCCACTATGGGATGGCTACAAGGGCTCGCTATATGACCATCTTGTCTTTACTTCCACAGCTATGGCTAAACTTACACTTATATCTTCCTTTCTTTCAAAATATTTAATAACATTTTAATTCTTACTCTATAACACCTAATTTCCTTTGTCAAATTTTACTCTTCACTTTATCAGAGTTTCCTTTGTCAGAGTTTACTCTTCACTTTATTTATTTCATGCCTAATATGTTGCATGAAACTAAAATATAAAAAGAATTTTAAAAAAATAAAGAAAATTTTTTCTCACATTAGGAGAGGTCCTGCTTCCTACATCTCTGTACTTTTGTTTCCAGTTCCTTTGCTATTTGCCCTCCCTTCTTTTCAACAATTTAGATGCTTTCATCATTCAAGACCTGGCTGAGATTTTTGCCTCCTCCTTTGAACTACTCAGTCCTCATTGGTTTGCCTTTCTGCTGAAAGTACTTATGATCTGCTCTATACAGTGAAAACTTTTTATTGATTTCTAGTGGCTCTGTAATAATAATAATTTGTTTAACATAAGAATGTTTTATAATCTTTCTTATGATGCCATGGCTCCTGGCATACTGTTGCTTCTATAATAGTGATTAATAAAATTAATTATTGATTAAAGAATGCACAATCTATTTGTCTTTGGGTTTTATGTAGTATAATGGGAAAGACAAAGCAGGAAACATGCAGTGAACTCAGATAATTCTAATAACTCCTTTCAAAACTTTCTATGGCGAAGAAAATAATCTTTTATAGAACAGTTGGACTGAGAGAATTCATTCCTACAAGGAGTAGAACCCAAGCCTGGATAAATGAAGTCATTTCTCTTATATAAGCACATATGTCCTAGGGACAGTGATGATATGGCTTGGTATTTGCATAATACTTCACAGCTTTAAAGGCAATTTCATGCTTTGCCTCATTTGATTTTTTTGTGCCTCCAAAAAGCCCCTCATACTCACAATTTATGTGTTATATTGTGGTTAAAGAAACAAAACCCAATAATCAAAAATGATTACAGAATTGCTCAAATCTTTTACTTGTTTTCTTTAAAAATTGTGAAATCGACTGAAATGCATAGTCCTTGGTAATACTTAATAAAAATTCTTTAGTATTCATTTCCATCACTCCCTGTCAGTGATCCAGAATTCTTTCTCTGTGATTTCTCCAAAGCTCAGAGACATCAAGCCCTATGCATCTTTTCTTTTGTGCTCCAATCCTTCTCCCTCCCTCTTGCCATGCATGTATGCATGTATGGGTGAGTGCGGCTATCAGGCTAGTGTCTCTCTAACAAGGAAGAATCTGTCATCTGTTACATGCTGGGGGTGGAGGCAATCAAAGGGAAAATTACAGAATTATAATGGCCTACTTTGAATACTCTTGTGTTAATTTTTTCATGTAATTCTTATAAGCATCTTGAAAGATAGAAATACTTAGTCCATTATTATAAGTGGGAAAACTAATGACAAAGTAGAGATTTGGCCAAGGTCACCAAATCAGTATCAAAGTCTGTACTTAAAATTTCTCTTCTGACTCTAAATCTAATACTTATTTTTTCAATTATATCACAGCTTCCTTCTAGTTACCAGAAAAGTCCCCCACCAGCCTTCTTCTAAAGTTTCTAGATTCTAACTGATCCATTCTGATGCCAGCTAATATTGTGCTTTGAAAACAATACATTTCTGAAAATATTTTAATGTTGAGGTTCATAAAGACAGTTTTAGTATTAGCAACTGGAGTATTGGCATGTTTGGTTGTTATTTTTCATAAGAGCATTTAAAAACATTTGAGAATCTTGGTGTATATTTCATTTTTTCTTATTTGCATTTTCCCTTAGAACATTAACCCTTGGCTATTCTTGGGTCAGTTGCCAAGCTGATAGTTTTCTTAGGTCTTGTTTAGTCCAATTCAGCTAAAAAATTATTGCACACCCACTTCAAGCTTCTGTGATTGCCATGGTGGAATATCAAGGTAAGAACAGGTGTTCCTCCCACTGTCAAGGAACTTACAATATAATGGGAGAAAGTTGATAATAGACAGAGTTGACTAAATGCTATACAGGCATAATTAACATGGACAGTTACAAAAATAAGACGTTTTACAAGGGAAAAGAAAAAATTAAGGAAAATTCAACAAATTGATTCTTCTTTAGAACATTTATTAACCATATTGAACTTTTAAGGAAATTTTATAAATACCTATACACATATGTATAAAGTAAAGAGTACAGTAATAGTTTTTGTGCATCACTATCCCATGTTCATTACATAGATGTCTTTTTCATGTTTATCATTGTGTCTAGACAAATTATATTTTCACACAGCTGTGCTACCAGATGTCTACATTCATATTTAATACGTACATTCACCCAACAATTAATCTTGTTTTACAGAGTTTTTTAGAAGGCGATTTTACATCTGGTGGAATTTGTTATTCTGATTTCAAAATGACAAGTAGCACAGTAAGTATAAAGAAAGTGAGAGAGAAGGATCTGACGTGTTACCTGACCTGGAGTGAGTGTGACATGCTGAGTAGGCCTTTAAATGGCTGCAGAGGAAAACAGACACCACAATTTTCCTTGAAACATAGCTTAGTGAAGGAGAAATGGTCAGGCCATTTAAGGGTTTGGTGCTGTTATGACTATATTTTTTGTTGTCCTACTTGAGCTTTCCCACAACCTCACTGCTAGCTAAAAATATCTCAGCTCAAAAATTCTTTTGAGTGGTTATGACTACATTGGCATCCCTCAGGCTCTAAAAAATGCCCAAACAAGTATGTCTTAGGTTTGGAAATAGAGTGTCTATCCTGCTTTCTTGAGGCCAGAATTTTTTTTCCTTACCTCTGGAATATTACAAAAGCACTGTAGGAAAGAGAAAAAGTTGTCATGGAAGGAAAAAAAAAATGATAACTTTTTGTCTTATTTACTTTTCTTGTTGTTGAGACAAAATACCCAACATCCAAAATTAAAGAAGGAAAAGTTTAGTTAGGTCACAGGTGATAGAGGTTTCAGTTCATAATTGGCTGGCTCCAAGGCAGGGTGGCATGGCAGAGGGCCGTCACAGAGAAACAGGACAGCAGGAAGAAGCCAGCAAGACAGCAAAAAAATGAGCAATAAGTGACAAGCCTCTCTCTGTCCCTTATATCTTATCCAGGCTACCCACCCCTACAGCAGGTAGTGCTCAGACCCTTAATTCTAGCATCACACCCTTAATTCCAGCATCACACATCCTAGATCCAGCCACCCCTGAAAAGCCCCACCTATGACTGCATGAGGCTTTGGGGGGAAGTCTCAATACAAGCCATAACATTTTTTTAAAAAATGAATCATGGTAATATCCTAAGTTACAGTTTCTAAAGGAAAAAAATTAGCATCATCTAGTGACCAGAAGTCTGTGCTAGAAGCATGAAGCTAGTTGTTTTGCTCTCCATTCAATATAGCTCTATTTATATAATTGTTCTGTTGAGGCATGTAAGGCTTTCCTAAAGACAGACATTTCCTTCATAAACAAATACCTGGGTTCTAGCCTAGACTTTAGCATTATTAGGATGGAAAGTTTTTAGTTTTTGATCTTTTGAAAAGGAACAGAAGAGATGTTCCAGTCTCACCCCCTTCTTTTTGGCTTTTCCATGTTAATCTCAAAAACTCCCCAGTGCATCCCCAAGTTTGCAGACAGCAGTCCTGGAGTGGTCTACCTGAAGCCAGTTACCTGGACTGGCTGCCCTGAGATAGATACAACGTGAGTCCTCCATTGGGCTGTCTCCTCGAGCATTGTTCCTGGAATCCAATGATGTGGAAACTTCTAGTCTCCTGAGTTACCAAAGCCACTTTTCATTTCAGCTCGCCTTTCTGGAGAAAGAGGCAGAGGTCAAAGAGATAATGACTGCATGGACATGCCAAAATGGAATTGCTTTGGCAGCAGTTAAACAAGATGGGCATTTACTCAGACCAAGAGGAGTGCTTCCTGAAGCGGGTGTTCAAAGAGGACCCTGAATAGAGGTCTCCGCAGGAGAAGTGGCTGCGTTTCATCTTTTCGTCTAGTGTACTTCAGCTCAGTTTATTCATTATTTCATTAGCTTGCTTTCAGCTCCTCTGGCAGAGCCACAGGATGCCATTTCTGTGTAGGAATCAGAGGCCTTGATGGAGCCTTGATAACAGACTTAAAGGGCTTCAAGTGGTCCAGGTAGCTTTGTTCAGCAGCCCTGTTCTTGGAAATTCCACGCTGCTTCCAGAGCCTCCGTTCTGATGCAGACACTGCTTGGTTACATGTCTGTTATACTGATCTCTGGACCTCAGTAAGCTGAGTGACTAGCTTACACTTAGGCAGTATGACAGCTATGCTTCTTACCACTGGAGAAAGATATCCTCTTTTTGACAAACTAGAGGCTAAGACCTCCTGTTGCTTTTGCTTTTCAGTAATACACTATAAACATAATGTTTGAAAAGACGTAGTGCTCTTGATCATAATGGAGCAGTTGCAATTAGCCACACTATTACCTTCTTCAGCAGCCTATCCTAAGGAAACTTGTTAAAAGCTTTACTGAAATCCAGACATGCCACACTGTCCACATTTCTCTGGACTATTAGCCCTATTAACAAGACGAATGATGCTAATTTAAAATGAAATAATGTTAGTGAACCTGTGTGGCTTTTATGATGATTGTTTTTTTAAAGGACCTACCCAGAATTCTAGAAATTTTAGAATTTCTCTCAGACTAAAAACTAAATTGAGGTCTTTAACACATAAAATACATTTGTTATTTTTCTTGTTCCATCATTTTTCTATTTTAACCCAATGGCAATTCATAAGCTCTCTATGCATCCTTCCTTTTTTCTGTGTGCTCTGAAATCTGAACCTCAGAGCTTAGACAACTTATTTTTTTATTTATTTTTAAAAATAAAAGAAGGAAAACATATTAACAAACAGACATCCATTTACAAACTAGCATAAGAACAATACAAACAAAACAAAGTTACAGACAAAGTTGTGGGAAATTAACAATGGTTGTTGCATTACTTATTGATATGAGCTTAGATAACTTATAACTTATTTACACAGTCAAGGAAATTTAATGGTGAGAAGGCAGGAGTCACAATTTTGTAACTTGTCAACATACCGTAGAGACTTCAAAACTGTGGATGACCCAGGATAACAAATATATACTTTAATAATCTGCATTTTTTTCTCTACCTGGAATAGTATTTAAGCAACCCTTGAGTACATGAAATGATTATCCTCTGCTTCATGATTATTAAAATTAATCTCTCTCTCTCTCTCTCTCTCTGTCTCCCTCTCTGTCTCTCTCTTAGATGTGCTTATATGAAAAAAATTCCTCTTTTTTAGAGCCAATACCCATCCACAAATCGTAATCCATTGCCTGAACAATATTTTTGTGTGCACTTTTATCTTACCTTATGAAGATTTTAGGTTTGCTTGTTTTCTATATTCTGTGAGTTAATATGTAGATTATTTCAACCCTTTTACTAGATAGAATCACTATGTGTTGTTTTTTTTCATGTGTTACAGTTTTCTAAGGACTGATAGACACTTCCTGCATTTTTTCTGTTTTACATTTGTAGGTATTATCAAGTGCATAATTTTATGTGCAAGGATTACTCTAGCTAATTTTCCATGTAGAATTACTCAACTAAGATGTTTTAATTTAACAAAGGAAAGGAATTCTGGAAGCTTCTAGATAGAAAAAAGCCAATTTCTATTCATTATGATGGTAAGATCACTGAACACTGAGGTTTGTCATCCAATTCATTCTGGTTTTCTGCTCACTGAACTCTAGCTCTCTTGTACTGGCTGAACACTTGAATAGTAACCACTTATTTACAGCTTTTTACAGCTGAGGGCGTGATTCTATTAAACAAGAGGATAGATGACAGCTCATATTGGAGTTAGTTCTTTAATTCTTAAGCATTTCCCTACAAGTTTGGTTCAGTTATTTGAATCAATATCATGGTGTTAGAGTTTTTGGAAAATGTAAAAGAGAGACCGAATGTTTTGCCTCCTATAAAAAGTAAAACTTGTTGTAGTGTGAGATATGGATAGCAAATGACACAGATATTTGTAGTACAGATATATATGCATATATTGCTGCTCTTTCATAGTCACATGAAAGAAATGTTTGCATGCTCGAAAATGTGCTTGTCATAGCCTATATAATGTATAAGGCACTGCCCTCATGAACAGCAGCTACTCAGGTGTCATTTATAGCCTGCAAAACCTAATAATGTGAAATCTAAAACAGATAGTCATTTACTCCGTGACCTTTTATGCTTTCTAATGTAGGTTTCTGTGGCATACCCCATTAACTTATTCCATTCTCAGACGCAGTCCACAGACATTCTAAATCAAAGACAGAGAATGAGTTAGCTAAAAAAGTGATTCACTGCAGAAATGAAATACGTTTTGAGCTATTTGGGGAAAGATACTATGAGCAAATCGAATAATAAAAGAAATACATTATTTATTAAAATACCCCTTAGCTAAAAAGCTTCAATTTTTTATTCAGAGGGAAGCTCTGAATGAAACATTCAAGATGTTTGTTTTTATGTCAAGAAATGGTAGAATTCTATCTTACAAGCTTTAATACTATTCCATTTCTATGGATTATGCATGAAGCAACAATGTTTAGTGTGAAAGAAGCACACGCTTTGGAATTGATTGGTCCTGGGTCCAAATGCTCACTTTGTCACCTATTAGATGTGTGACTTTCAGAAACTTTCTTAACTCCTCCCAAGCTTCAATTTTTGCATCTTAGTGTGAGTGAGAATTAGGCCTCATAGAGTTGTTGAAAGGCTATTAGAATGCAATTTTACCACCTAATATAATGTATGTCACATTAAATACATACACTGCAGTTTAAATTTCATCTCTCAGTATCAGAATTTGAGAAGTTTTCCATGACCACATCACACTCAACCCAAGTCCTTATTTCACCATAATAAGAACTGGACAAATGAATCACATATTTACAGTTACATACATATTTTGATGACCAGTAACTAAACCAATATATTAAACCAAATTTGAGTTATGGTCATTGTCTGACTCACTAAACACTTACAGGTCTCTTAGACCTACACAGACTATTTTTGAGAAAAAAATTCAGTAGTCTCGTTCCTATAACTCAATTTAGTAATTTAATAAAACCATGTCTTCATTATTTTCTTGTTGCTGAGACAAAATACCCAACATCTAAAGTTAAAGGGGAAAAGGTTTATTTTGGCTTACAGTTTGGAGTTTCAGGCCATGGTCAGCTGGCTCCAAGGGAGGGTGGTAGGGAAAAGGGGCATTGCAAAACAGAAATAGTACATGATAGGCCAGGCAGAAAGCAGCAAGCTGCAAGACTTCCTTCTATTTCCCTTGTATTCCATCCAGGCTCTGAGCCTATTGATTGGTGCTACCCATACCCAGGATGTGGCTTTCCATTATCCACATGCAGAACAATGCTAAGCCAATTGGTGAACTAACCCAGTTAATGTATCTGTATTAATCTGATATTAATCTCTATTTACAAACTATGTCCAGCCACCTCCAAAAAGCTCCACCTATGAAGAGTGTATGAGGACTTGAGGAAACATCTAATATAAGCCACAACCACCATTTTCCCCAAAAGGAAAGCATTCAACTACGAAAATGAATATCATTATTCTCTTCCAAAACTTTGTCTTCCCACCAATTTATTAATAGTATTGAAACTAATAGTTTTGGAGATGCTACCAAGATGTATGTTAATAATAGAATGACTATTTCCTTCTCTTAGACACTCTGAATTTACCTCAAAAGACCAACTGGGTGAAATTCAGTGTGGACTCAAATGACTAATACCTTGTTCACTATGAGGGTCATGGATGGGACCAAATGATTACACAGTTTAACCGTAACCACACACTTCTCAGGCCGAAGGACAGAGTAGGTCTGAGTCATGATGCCTTTCCGCTGGTTAGGAATGCACAAATTCATCTGATTTCACAGAAAATAACTGTCCCATAACTAGATATGCAAGGTTTAGGCATTGAATGTTCAATGTTGATCAGTTATATGATGTGGATCTCAGTAGAAATCACACACTGACCACTAGGCCAAGCCACCCTTATATTAGCCACCCCTAACAGAAGTAATTTTGAGCAACATAGGGCTTATAAATTTAATCCAACATTTTTAAATATGGAGAATTTTATATAAAAATCATGACTTCTGGAATTTCTTTTAAAAATGAGATCTGGAAACTCTGGGCCTTAATTCCCATAAGATGACCAAAGGGAAGTGTGGAGTGGGCTGATCCCTGCTTGAGCCAGGCCTGTGGTCTCCTATATACCAAAGTCCTGATTGCCACAGCGGTCTATTTCACTTAGGGTAGACCTTGGAGTCATTTGAAATTTTAACCTCAAATTTCAAATTTGTTTATTCTAGTAGTTGTTGCACCAAATACTGTGTAACCTCTTAAATAAAAAGCATCAATACAGTATTAACTTTTAAATGAGTTGCTTTCTAGGGCATGATCCTTTCATTACTTATAGCATAAAAATCAGAGTGCGATTGGTAGGGGAATAAAGTAAAAATTGATGTTCCTGAAAAGACAGAATGCTTTCATTTCTTTTCAATTTATCATTAATAGAATAATAGGGAGAATAAATTAGATTTGCCAGTGGGGAGGAAATGGAAGATCGGGGAGAGCTGTACATTATGAACTTTTCCTATTCTGAAATTTACTGTAATGTACTCACTTTATTCAGTGTGACATATTATTTCCTTTCAGATGCTTATGTAGGTCAAATGGAGTGAAAATAAACACAAAGCCTCTCTCCGGTGAAGCTTCTCAGTACAAGAAAATTCCCCAGCTAGAAAATGGAGGGAAGTGAGACTTAATCCTCATCCCCACAGGTCTCAGGGAGATGCGCTGGTAGTGTATACTGGACTGCAATGTTAGGAAAGATACCACCTTACAAAGAGCAGAAGCCTGATGTGCTGTCTCAGAAGAAGGCTTTTGCTAGTTGAAGGAGATGTGTCTACTCGGAGGAGCTCTGAACAAGTTGCTGAGAAAATAGATTAAAAATTGAAGACTAGAAAAAGTAAGAATTATTGACAGCTCAACACATGAATTTCAGTCTTTGCAGCAGTGAGAAATTCCTTTGTGCTGTGTCTAGCCTAAAAATGTATGGATAGTCTAAAATTAGAAAGAACCCTACAGTTATTGATTTATTGGTAGAAAAACAAGAATGTGCTCTTCACTAGGTAGACAGATTAATGAAGACTACAAGTTTTGAATTAAAAGAGAAAACTACAAGTATTACCTTTTCACTTATTAATTGTCTGAGCTTAGCCATGTTTTTTAACCTGGTATAGACCCTAATTAAATTTTTTAGGCTTTCAAATTCTGCTTTAAGAATGCCTAACATACAGGCATTTATATTTGGTTGTTTTGAGTATTGCACTAGATAACATAATACCTGTACAAGAAATGTCAGCTGCCTGTCTTGTTAGTATTACTTGATACCAGTTTAAAACATCATGTGTTGAACAGAAAGACAACATAGAAAGGTACCCTTCAAATAATGTGATGTTGGAAAAAGCAGAATATAAGTTTGTATGTCATTGTGCTTTCTACTACAGAGAAAAAATATAAGTGGATGGGGAAAAAATGCAAGGGAATTATGCTAAAATGCAATTAATGAATGTATGTGGTAGTGCAATAATATATCATTTTCCCTTCTCTAATTTCTAGTTATTTTGATATTTCTTTAATATCACTTTTATAATAAAAATACAGTCATCCTGCATTGTGGATGCCCCTCAGATAAGAAACTCTGCAGATACTTAAGTTTCTTACATAAGTGCTGTAGTATTTACACATAACTTACACATATTCTCTTGTGTACTTTATGTCATCTCTAGGTTCCTCATGATACCTAATGTAATGTAAAAAGTGCTATAAAGTTGTTATGTTGTACTGTTTAGGAATAATAACCAAAGGAAAAAAGTCTGTATACATCAATATGGACACAATATTTTTCTGAATATTTTCAATCCATGGTTGATTGATTTTATGGATGTAGAGCCCACAGATATTAAGGACCGACTATAATTCCATAAAGAAATCGTTTAAAACTCTCATAATAAATCTTACTTGTTTTACTTGATATTACTCACTCTCAATATTGTAGACCTCTTCCCTCTTTGCCTTCTAAAATATCAACTTAACAGTTAAAGGAAGTAATCAGTGTCATATTTAATTGGAAATAAAATTTGATCCAGGAACGGATATTTATCTGAATTAGAATGTTGGTCTTTTTAAATGTGTCTTGCCTGAATTGAGTGTAATTAAAATGGTAACTTTAGTTTCATTACAACAACAAAAAAGCTATTTTTGTTTCTTTTAGCCCCCATCTTAAAAAGTAACACTAAATAGGATCTTCAGGCATATGGTTTTATTTTAAAAAGGTAAGGTCTAGCTGAAAGTATATGAAAATAAGTAAGTGTGGTTTTTTCCTGTTAGGCTCAAGTGTATGTTTATGTACATGCTTATCCTTTAAGCTAAACTGTGCACAGCATAGGGAGGTGGTGAGGCCCTAGATTTTAATCAACCAGGTTAGTAATTCTATAAAGGGAAAATGAGTCTCTTATCAGTATTAATATTAAAATTTTTTAATGTAAGCAAATATAAAAGTGAAGATTTCTAAAAATGGCAATGAGTTTAGTCAGAATTCAAACTAGGCTGAAAAGAAAAATAATCACTATATAAAGTAGTTGTTAATATCCCAAACATTAAATTGTGACCCCATAATATAATTTCTTATTACTGATGCTAAGCTGCTTCCTATCTTATCATACATACACATGTGGGAAGGAGTAGTGGCATTTTGTGGATGCATTATTTAAAAAAAATACAGCAGATAATAGATTCATAGAGCATATGGGCTAGCCCTGTCTCTTCAGATGAAAATTTTGGAAAACTTTCTGTAAGTCTGTTTTAAGCTTGTGTGCCATCGTGACTGAGACGAAAAGGCACAGCAGAACTTGGTTCTTTGTCTTTAACTTCTTTCTAGCTTCAGTTGCTTCTTTTTAGATAAGAATTTAAAAACTTTAAAACCCAAAGAGACAAGGCCTTATGTTAATGAAAACTCCAACCATCATAGCCCTCATTTTGGAATGTTTCCCGATCACACGGTTGTGCATAGCCTGGGAATCGCTTGCTTACAACAGTGGCTTATACACATTATGTAGACCAAATCCTCCCAGAGATACAAGTGAAAACCCCTTTACAAGAAGGAGGATGTGACAGTTTATTTTCTCTACACCACTACATTTTGGTACTCAAAATGGTATTCTGTTGTTTGTTCTCACTAAAAGAAAATGGAAATAAAGTATGTAACTTTAGAATTTAAGTAAGATGGAAATACTTGTTTTGTCTTAGAAGGATCACTACTTTTTTTGTTGTTAGGATTGAGTATTAACTGAACAAGATCTGCTTTGCCCACTGCAAATTACTGGAATGAGCTCTGCAATAGAGAAACAGCTGATTCCCGAGGTACCCATAAGTGGAGGTGGGGCACTCGTGTCTCAGATTTGTCTCCCTGAGGAGCAGGGTTTGGATACTGATGGGATAAAAGAGCCGGGCAGGGTGCAGTCTGGGAAATGGTGGTTGGAAGCATACATACAATCAATCTTCATGAGTCTTCATGAGACACATGTTCAGAAAATGGCAGCATTAGCATGATCTGAGGGTGGAGTTTTCAGTCTCCTGACCACAAAATGAGAGTTTATGCAGATTCTCCCTTGGTTTCATAAGAACAAATATTACAAAAGAAAAAGTCATGGCACCTGTCTTCAAAGTTCTAAAATTTGATTAGAGCAAACAAGTTAAACTCACAAATGCAGCAATTACAGAATGACATAATATGTGAAAATTTTGATAGTATTTGGTACTGAGCATTATTATTTGCTAATATTTCTTTCATTTCCTCTTTACCTGGTGCTAGTTGTTTTTCTAAGTTGTCATATTAATTCATGTAATCCTCACAACAAGCTTATGAGGAAGATACTATTGTTCATCCTCCTTGCATAGTGATGGTATTTGTAGCCCAAAGAGTCTAATAATTTGTCTAAGATCACATGGCTAGTTAGTGGCAAAGCTAGGATTTAAACCAAATGATCTGGTTATGATGACTACTCCTGTTATTGGTCTATTTTTTATTTATTTTAATATTGAGAATATTTTTAATTTAAGATATGCACAAGCCGCACACACCTGTTTTATACCTCAGTGCAAGGAGGTTGGCCCTGGACAAAGCCCACCACCTGACTCAGGAACTCAAGCACGAAACAAGAAGCCCTGTACTTCTCAAAGGTCTGAGATACTTACAATTATTTTACCACATGATAGATAGAGTTCTCTGAAAAAACCTCAAGTTTTGTATCACTTTTAGAAAATGTAACCAGGTGTGGTGGTGCACACCTGTACTCTCAGCACTTGGGAGGCTGAGGCAGGAGGATCCTTGTGAGTTCAAGGCCAGCCTGGGCTACATAAGAGAGTTCAAGGCCAGCCTCACTACACTGTGAGATCCTGTCTAAACAAACAAACAAACAAACAGAAAATGTATTAATTAAATAATGATATCTGGAGAATCAGTAAAAGTCTGTGTGTTTTGTGTAAATTCCTTGGAGTTATATATGAAGGCGCTAAGGGACATTGGCTCAGAGCACAGCCAACTCCTAGTCTTTAACAGCTGATGTCCGTCTTTCTTTTTCATAGCCAACCCTCAGAGTTAAGCACCAGGATCATAAGCAGAGTTGTTTCCACTCACAGTGATTATATCTTATATCAACCCACAGTACCCTCTCAGGTAGAAACTTACACCTCACAGAAACTCTGTTAATTGCAGCAGGTGGGAGCCAGATAAAAAGAAGTAGGATGCAAAGAGAAGTAGTTTTGTGTTTCTGGAAAGATTCATGCAGAATGTTGAGTTGAGCCTTTTAGATACGTAAGAGCTGTGCTCAGAACTAAGCTTAGTCTCTCCCTAAACCACCCTATGTTTTCTGCAGAATCACATTCTCTGGAGGTTTGAGCCAGTGACTGACACACAAGGCTGGAGTGATGAGGCCTCAGTCTGGGACAGGACGTTTCACACGGCTGTCTTGAAGCTGCCTGTGTGACCTGAGCCATGCTCTTCGCACTCAGAAGGCTGCTGAACTCCTCTCAGTGGATGGAATCCAGCAGAAAATTAAAGTAGATCTAGCCTTCTGTCTTACTCTTTGTTCTTTTCACTTTGATGTAAAAGGCTTTGATCAAGCAAGACATTAGATCTAAAAGCTCTTAGTAAGGATGGAAGGAAAAAAACGTGACGGGAATTATGCACTCTGTTTCATGTTCCCACCTAGAAAGTGCTCAACAGATTTTATGGAAGCAAGGCTTAGGTGTCTGTAAGGGAGAGGTAATAAACATCAGTGTGGTAACAGAAATGCAGGCAGGAAACAGAAGCACAGGGAGCCCGATCTCCAATAGGGATGCCTTTCAAACATGAAAAGATGTCAGAGGAAACAATGCGATATTTATATGCAATTAAACACCAGACATCTTTTGTTGGAACTCATAAAAAAGAAGGGGCATTTTTTAAGAAATGTGTTTGTCTCCACACCAGCCAATACCAAATGCTAAGCCTTGGCCCTGAGCTTTATCTCTGATGGGCAACTGATGACTTTGATCACCTGAAGGATGGCAATTGTGGCAAAACTGATTCTGGTGCTGATTATAATCAGAAAGATGCCCAGTGATCAAACAGATTATGTGGCAGTGCATTTTTAGTAGTTGCAACCCATGGTTATTATCAGATTCCACAAACATTTCATGCTTTGATTTCCATCCAATGGAATATTTATATTATTTTCTAAAAACCTAACTCTAGAGTTAGATGTTTTGGGAAATTAAATGTGTATGTGAATTAAGGAAAATTTGTTTTTTTTTTACATAGAAAAAATAAATTCACAATTTTCTTGGCATGAACTGTAATGTGTCAGTTTTTCTTGTTCTAAAACGTTATGGTATGCTGTTAGGGTTATCTTACCATAATTTTCAGTGAACTTTTGAAATCCTTTCTTGGATTCTTTTAAGAAAAGTAATTCACGTTTTCTTCCTTTTGGATTTCTTGTTTGTTCGTTTGTTGAGATTTGAGCCTGAAATCATTTTTTAAAAAGGTATTTTAGGTTTATTATTTTCTCCTTTTGTGCCTATTTAAATGAGATGTATGAGTGAGGTAAAAGAGACATCACACAATAGAATATTGTTATTCCATCTTTATGCTGTTTATCAGAGGGATGATCTTCCATCTATATTAGACATGAGTTTCAACATGTTGAATATACTGCATAATTAAATATTATACAGTTCTCCCCCAAAACTCCAAGACTGCAAGTGTGAATCCAAATGAAGAATTTCCATCTAAATATTTTTCATTCATTTGTGAATTCAAAATATAATTACTAGTATAACTCCTGTATGGTAAATAGGCAGTGCTGTGGAAATTAAAGTAGTGAACAAAATAATCACATAGCTGGCTTCCAGAGAACTTACCGTGTGTCTGATTTATCCAATTACCACAATTTGCACAGCAAAATATTCTAAAATCTAAACAATATGGGCTATAATTTAATTAATCATTACTTTATTATTCAAATGTCTGGTTCTTTTATACTATAGGTACTTTTTATGATTCAAAATTACACATAGTATAATAGAAACAGAAGCAGTAGAATCATAGGTTTAAATCCTATCTCCAAAATGACTAGTTATTTTACATGATACAGAGTTTTTAGGTTTTCTGAGACTTATTTCCATTTTTTAGAATTCAGGATACTAGTTCGATCACCGGTAGTTTGGCAGTTGAATAAGATGTACAGAGACCAGGACAATCCCTTCTATGAAGTCACTTCATGATAAACACAAATTTCCTACCCTCTCTCCACTCCTCTGTCTTGTGGTTTTTCTAGGCCACCAGTGTAGTAGCAATTATTGCTGATCTATATTTGGGATTAAAAATCAGATGCAAATTTAGAATAAAAACTGATTAATATCTTATGAAGTAATAAAAGTCCAAATCATGGTGTCTGCTTTCACAGAACAAAAAATATTTCATCTCATGAATTTTGAAGAATTGTAAAATGACTGGACTTTTTTTGCGGGGGTATTGGGAATCGAACTCAGGACCTTGCGCTTGCCAGGCAGGCACTGTGCTGCTGAGCTATATCCCTGGCCCAAAAATGACTGGATTTTAATCAATTGTGCTAAATTATAATTCCCTAAACCTAAAGAATGAGACGACTGTAAACAAATCTCAGAAAATACTTTAAATATAACATTAAGGTACAAAGAAATCGTCATTTTAAAAATCATGTAGCAGATATAAATGAACCAGTACTTTTGTATTTTAGAAATTGTTTCTTATTTATCAACTCCACCAACTTTCTATTTTCGTCTCAGTGTAGGTTCACACTTCATGTTTATTCTGTTTGCTAGCATTTTGTCATCATTGGGAGATAAAAACATAAATAATTTGCAAGTAAAATTACATGAAATATTCTATAAAAGTTTTGCAGAGAAAAAGATTTAATACTTAGGTATTGAAATTAATTCAGGGATGACTTTATGACGGTAAATTAAAATTGCAATAAAGAAGTGAATTATTCTTTCATAAAACTTTTTCTTCACTTCTGTGCTTAGGATTACAGTAAACTGGCAGATGTTTTAAAGATAGTATATTCTGTGGGTACTCAGATAATAGCAGGATGGAGTTACCTCTTAGAGCAATATGAACTGTCAGTATCAAGTGCTTAAAAAACAAGATCTGTATGCATTGTCAGTGAGCAAAGATCAGGAGAAGTTGAAGTAAGTTAATTAATTTAACTAAATTGTTAAAAGTAAATTAACACAAATTCAGTGAAAAGACTAAAATGTCAGCCACCAATCTTGAGAGATAAAATCATTGAATCAGAATTTGTATGGCATTACCTTTAGTTTCCAAAGAACATATGTTAACAAAATGTGAATGGTGAAAGTTATTCCATACTTATTAACGATGTGACTGCTACTAGACAAATGGTATAGTTTAGGTTCAGAACCTTGAAGGAAAATTGTTGTAAAAATACATGCTCGCATAAGATGCTAACCAAAGTCTTTGAACTAATAACTAAATAAAATTACTGCCGTAGAAGATAAAAGTTTAACTGGAGCACTGAAAATATTAGCCAGCAGACAATACATTATTGCTTTGGGTCAACTGTACATTTATCGTGCTTCTTTTTCTCCTATTCTTTTAATATACTGTTAGCCTGTTAATTTCCATATGTTATTTACTGTCTACCATGAATAAACAAGTGGTTCTCATTTCTTTGGGTTAACTGAACTAAAAATGAAAGGAAAGGTTACCAAGACCCAGGACTTGACAGCTCTCCTTCATGCAATTGCTGCAAACCCAAAGGGTCAGCAGTTAGCCTACAATTTTGTAAGCAAAAATTGGGCCAATCTACTAAAAAAAAGTTGGTATTTCAATATGTTTTTCTGTGCAGTGTCTGTTACCCAAAACTAAGTGTAATCAAGCGTTCCTCAAAGCGTACAAATGATACCATTTTTATTCAAATTGTTCAGTGAAATCTTTTTGGCTTTAAAACATACTCACCTAAATTACTCTGTCGAGGTATAAAGGAGATGAATGAGAATAAGAAAATGAAGAAAAAAATTCCTTTCATTCAACCTAGGCAAAAATTGTTAGGAGTAAATATCAATTGAGTTAAATCTAGTTATTATCCTCAACCCCCTACCTCCGGCTCTCTCTCTAGCCCAGAAAAGTCCCCTGAATTCTTACAAAGCACAACAAACATATTTGGCCTTCTTTGTTAATGTGGTTTTGTTCTGGAAGAAAAACATCTCAGGAATCTTGGTGAGACCTAATCCTTATCTCCAGTTTGGCATAGTGAACACTTGAAGGAAACTTTATGTTTTGGAAGTCCCGCTCCCAAACTGGATTTGTCCAGAGTTTTTTCAGTGTTTCAAGTTATGTGGAAACAGATCCTACTCCCATATAAAATACCTATTGCAGGCCTACTCCAGAGCTTAAAATATCGCTCAGAAAGAACCAATGATGACTAGATTCCCCTGGAAGGTACATGATGACATTGCTTTCTCTTTTACACACACAAAACTCCTACTGAGGCATGCAGCCATCTCTCATCCAAACCCACTTGTGATAGCTGTAGAAAATACCATGAATTGGAGAGCTGTGTGCTTTGCTTTATCTTAATTTATGTTAGTGTCTCTGATGTCATTCTTTTCTAGTTGCTTCTTCTCTCTCATTTCTTAAGGACAGAAGAGTAAGAGTCCTCACAGACGGCTTTGTGAAAGCCAAAAAGCACATTCTCACACCTCTCCCAGTTCCTACCAGCACTGACATCCGCAAGACCAAATAGTTAGAAACTGCTCTTCGCCAGGCATGCTCAGCACATACTTGTAATCCCAGTACTCTGGGAGGCTGAGGCCAGAGTTTTGCAAGTTGAGCTCAGCCTAGGAAATTTAGGGATTTAGTGAGACCCTGTCTCAAAATAAAACATAAAAAACTATGAGGGCCCTGGGTTTAACCCTCAGTAGCAAAACAACAACAACAAAAATCCTCTACTTACCAAAAATGATATATTTCTTTAAAGATCCTACTAGGCTGTTTGTATGATTGTCAGTCTCCCCCTGAAATGATCAGACTTTTTCTGAAATGCTGTGGATTTCTTTTATGATTGGAATTTATATTCCTGCCCAACTGTGGGTCTAGCCTTGGAACCACGGTCTCTACTTGGCTTTCTCAGCATGTGTCACTCTGACCTGTGGTATGTAGGACTGAGGTGGAAGATGCAGCTTGTGGCTGTGAAAGAGTCCAAGCAAGTGACTTTGCCCCGAGAAGCACAGTATTTAAGTATTTAAGTACACCACTGCTCAAAATAGGAAGTGTGAAAGACCATATATTAGCAAGCAAAAAGCACGTAGCACTGCATATATGATGTCTGATTTCATGTTTGCACATTATGTTACTACAGATTTTAAAACAAAATATAATGAAAGATTACTTATATAGCATTTATCTGTAATTTAAGATCTTTTCATCAAATCGTAATACATGCATATAATTCATAAATATAAATATGTATATTGTGGGCTGGGGTATAACTATCCCCAGCATAAGATAAATAGATAGATAGATAAATAGATAGATAGATGATAGATAGATGATAGATAGATAGAATGAATAGATAGATAGAATGAGTAGATAGAAAAATAGAACAAATAGAAAGATGATAGATAGAATGAATAGATAGTGTTATGGTTTATGTCTGTGTGTCCCCTCCAAAGCCTCATGCAACCATGGGACAGGCTATTAGAGTTGAATGATTGTGGGTGTGAGAGCTACACCCGCCCTGGGTGGATAGTTTGCATATGTAAGGGAGAGGAAAAGAGTGCTTGAGGACATTCCTCCCCCATTCCACCCTGGTGTGTGCTTGCGGCTTAGCTGTGTTCTGCCACCCTGAGCTAGCTCTCTGCCATGTGCCACTCTGCCTTATAATCTGCCAAGTATGGACTGAAACTTCCACAAACTGTAAGCGAAATAAACCTTTCCTTCCTTAATTTTGGGTGTCAGGTATTTTGTCCCAGCAAGGAGAAAAAAGTAACCAAGACAGATAGGTAGAGTGAATAGATAGAAAGATAGAAGGAATAGATAGAATGAATAAATAGAATGAATAAATAGAATGCAAAGATAGACCATATATATACATACATATATGCATATATATGATGCATATGGCAGTTCTTACTCAAAAATTTTTCAGTGTTGGGAGTACAGAATCAAAAATTTTATGGAATGCTTAAACATAAACATAAATTTAAATGTAAACGTTGTTGAATAACGTGACTAAATTTCCTGAAGATGTTTCATCTATATTTCCATTTTATGGTCAAATTTGTTAAATTTCATTGCGTCAGGATTATGTTAACTGAATAAGTTATTTTTATGGTAATTAATAGTATTTATAGTAATGAATAAACTTATCATGAAATTATTTATATTACATATTTGAAAAATAATGTGACATAATAAACATAAGGGCAATATCTTTATTACTTAAATGTGTGAGGTTTCTTTTTATTTTTAGATTTGATGTGGGCTTGTTTGCCATGAGAACCGTCATGTCTCTACACATCTCACCTTTCTTCCAATGCTGAGTTGTAGTGGTTTGTTCATTTCTATTGTTAACAATTTTAAAATAAAATGTCCAAAAGGTAGACTTGAAAATAAATTTAGATGCATTCTGGTTTGAAATTCTCATTTTAATATGAACAAAAGTTACCTGTCCTGTGCCACATAGCATGTAAATGAAAGGGACAGGACTAAAGCCTGAGTCTTCCAAAATCTGCCCATAGCATTCCAAATAGGCATACTCTTGATGCATGAGATTATTCCAAAGTTTGGAAATGTAGCTGACTAATTTCAACAAAATTACCACCATTGGTAATTCTTTTTACAAAATCATTCTTGTATTATAGTCTTTTTCATGTTTTAATGATTTATGTATTCTTTTCATAATAAATCTTGAATTTATTCATCCTTTAAGCAAATTGGAAATCCCAGAGCTAAAATCCCATCTAAGCATTTACTCTGTGACTTCTGTAATTGGTTAACTTCTTCACCCACAATGTGCTCTCTTGTACAATCAGAATTTATAATTCCTTCTCTATCTACTGTTTGAAGATAAAGTGAAATAATAATTATGCAAAAAGAATGAAATCATTTCTAGAGATTGGCAAAAAAAGGCTTGCACCTGTGTGTACAATTTACAAGCTGTTTTCAAACACTTCGGTAGACATAGTGTTTTATGAATCAGGTCAGTAATTTTTTTCTCGCATATGTTTCAGGCGAAAGCATTCTTTGAATCTCTTAGGGCTCAAGGGATTATGTCTGCTTATTTTCCAAATTGTTTTCAAGACTATAGTAAAAAATATTAAATAGCTAGAGAAGGGTCTTCCCATTCAGAGGAAGTGGGTATTGATTAGTATTTAAATTATCAGTATAATTTATGAGAAGAAAAGATTAGGAGTAGGGCTACATCTTGATGTTAAACAGACAGAACAATACCAGCAAAACTCAGGGCAAGTTTTGAATATTTTGCTTAATCAGGGAAGAGGCTAAAAAAAAATCAGCCATCATAGCTGCCTGCTCTCCGCTCTGGATTCCAGCTGATGGAAGAAGGATGTTTCAATGGTGTATCTAAAAGTAAACTTCCCAAATAATACATATATGTAAATACAGACATAGATATTTGGATATAATTGTAATTTGTAGCCTGAATGTAACAGTCTTCCCACTACATCACTATTTTGTTTCTTTCATTTTGTTTTATCTTTTCTTACTGTCTCGGAGTTCGCCTCAACAGTTTTAACTATAAGGAACTATAGTTAACCAATTAAAAATTTATCTTTCTTGTGTACCTTTCATTACCTCATCCCATCTTCAACTCATACTGAACTACTTTATTTAATTTTTACAACTTGTGGAAAATACCAGAAAAATTGTAAGGGGTAAACATTAAGAAACTAGAGATTATTAGATTAATCAGACTATTGAAACCAAATGTGAACATTTATCAAAGACGCAAGCCAGAACACCTTTTGACTTAGTCTCACATTTATAAGGAACCTCAAAGGAAGAATTTTGAAGTCCTCTCCACTGAAGTTGATCCTGCAGTTATGGAGGCACAGGAGAGAAAAAAAGATACTTACCACATCACTTTAATCCATTTGCTATTGCACAGTAATGTGATTGTACTTAATGCAACTGAACCATACACTTAAAATGATTAAGTGAATTTAACGTGAATTCTACCATAATAAAACAAATGAGAGGAAGGTGCTATTGCACTTTAACAAATCTTTTGAAAGTCTCAGAATTAGAATGCATTATATATTTTGGTTTAAACCATAGCTTAATGTAAACATTTATATGTATTATCATATTTTGTATCTTCATATTAGCATCATCACATTGTAAGGAAACCTCTTCATCTATGAAATGCCCTTCCCTACCCTTCTATTAATGTTTTTTTCCATAAAGTAGCTTGGAATAAACAAAGAAAAGACCATTCTACATACAGGTAGTAAGCTGAGTCAATTCAAGTTCACATAAGTGAATCGGTGTGAAAATTTAAATGAGTTTCATGAAGACATGAATCAATATATAAATGACATTTATTTGTATAATTAAATGAAACTAGGGACATCAGGGCAGGAGGGGAGAGTGCTATCTAATCAATCATGGGATCTTGGAAGCCTCTGTGACTCTAGATTTGACCTAATCATGGAACTACCTTGCTTTTTATAACACCTAAGTGATATTCTTCTAGAAGTCTATCTACTTTAGCATATAGAAATCAAATGAGTAAAGAATATGTGTATGTATATATTTATCAAGATAATATGTGAATTTAGCAATAAATATCTATGAATTTTGGTAGAACTGTGTCATCAACATTTCCATAAATATGCAAGTTCTTTTTGTATAATAATTTCATCTGACATATTCCAAATTTTTAATTCTCTTCTTTTTAATTCTTTGTCTAAATACAATATTGAATACTTTTTTTTGCTTTTTCCATAATATTGCATTATGAAAAATTCTAAACATATGGAAAGTTTTAAATAATTATATAGTGAACACTCATGTTCCTACCACCTAGATAACACAACATTTTGTTGTTTGCATTTGCTTTCTCACACAAGCCATTCCTGTCTCCATTCACCAATCCATTTATTCTTGTGCATTTCAAAATAAGTTGCAAATAGAATGCCCTTCACGTATGCTTCAGTGAGATTTTTCCTCTGATTTATTTTATTGTGGTAGAATTCACTTAAAATTCACTTAATCATTTTAACAATATGGTTCAGTTGTATTAAGTACAATCACATTAATGTGCAAACTTTATCACCATCCATCTCTAAAACCTTTCTCAACTTGCAAAAATCAGTGTATATGACCAACAACAGATGAATGGATATGGAAATTGTGGTGTTTACATACAGTAGAGTGGTACTCTGCCATAAGGGTATATTTGAGGAATTCATAGGTAAATGGATGCAAGTAGAGTATATAATATTGCTTTGAGGTTTTTTTTTTTTTTTTGGTTTTTCTCTGGTACCGGGAACCGAACTCACAACCTTGCACTTGCCAGGCAGGCGCTTTTGCCGCTGAGCTAAATCCCCAGCCCAGAGTATATAATATTAAGTGAAGTAAGTCAGATACACAGGCTTAAATAGCGTATAGTTTCTCCATTATGAAAAACTTAAAGTATATATGTAAATGAGGAGCGAAATGGAGGTAGGGAGAGGTTCAGGTGGTTCCACAATTACATCTTCCATTGTCTCAAAAATATTA